GGGAAGGGACTGGGGAAGGGACTGGGGAAGGGACTGGGGAAGGGACTGGGGAATGTGAGAATTGCCATCACTCAGGAAGAAGTAGTGGCATCATGAATCAAGCCATGCACACAAAGTCAGAATTCAATCCTTGGGGAAAAAGCCTGGCTAGGAAATTCCTGTCTGGAATATTGCAGTGGTGTGTGTCAAATAAAAGGAGCATGTCCTACCTGTGTGGACTTTGATGTGCTGGTACAGGGAGTTCCTCTGGGCGAAGGTCCGGAAGCAAACCTCGCACTTGAAGGGTTTGGATCCCGTGTGGATCCGGTTGTGGTGCTTCAGGTATTCCTTGGAGGCAAAGCTCTTCCCACACGTCTCACACATGAAAGGCCTTTCCCCTAAAAAAGCAAGGAAAAGGAGAATTAAACCAAACAGGGCTTTGGGAATGCTGTTAAAACATCCCAGCCAAAACTGAGGGATCTTACGGAGCATGTCCTCCCTCCAGGGTCTGAGGGGGCCTTTAAAGGTCACCCAGTCCCAAATCCTGCCGTGGGCAGGGACACCTTCCACCTAGCCCAGGTTGCTCCGTACCCTGGAACAATTCTAGGAATGGGGAATCCATAGCTTCTCCGGGAAAACCATTCCCTCAGAGGGAGGAATTTCTTCCCAGCACCCAATTTAAATAAACCCTCCTTCAGCTTAAAATCACAGAATATCCCAAATTATTGGGTATTCTGAGCTTTCTCAGGAAAACCACATCTAGAGATGATGGCATCTTGTTCAATATAAAAAAAACAACAACAAAAAAGCATCTTCTTCTGAAGGCAAGACAGTTTCCAGCTTTCCTGGAATGGTTTGCCTGGGTTTTTTTTTCTCCCCCTTGGTTTCCAGGCCTCCTCCAACCCCGGGATCATCCTCCTTACCTGTGTGGCAGCGTCTGTGATAGATGAGCATGTGGTTCTGAGTGAACCGGGCCCCACACTCATCACAGACAAAGGGCTTTTCCCCCGTGTGGATTCTGAAAGGAGAAAGGAACGTTCAAACACCAGGCCAAGGCTCTTCCCTCCACGGAAAAACCGGAGCCGGGGGCATTCGGGGCCGGTTTGTCGCTGGATCTGGGAATTTTAGGGCAAACCCGAATTTTTTAAAGGTGTTTTTTTAAGGTAAAACAGAGGGAAAGTTTAGGGAATTTCTCCCCGGGGTGTGGCACCCGTCCTTTGGGATGTGAGGGTTTTGGGAGAGCTGGTTTTCGTGGATACACACACACCCACAGGGAGAGGACAGACGGCAAAATACATCCCAAAAGATGAGGGATTAACACAGCATTTCCAGCATTCAGCAAGACTCTGGGATACAACAGAGAGGAAATTCCACTTATGCCCCCCAAAATAATCTTCAGCTCATTTCCTTGGGCAGGTAAAGCTCTGGGAACTGATAAAATCAGGTTAAAGCCCCTCAGAGATGATTTTTTTCCCCATCATAAAAATGCCCTGAGAGAGATGGACAAACTGATAAAATCAGGTTCAATCCTTCACAGATGATTTTTTCCCTGATAAAAAAGTCTCTGCCCTAACAGAAATGAAACAATGATAAGATCTGGTTAAATCCCTCAGAGATTTATTTTTTTCCCCTCATAAAAGTGCCCTGAGACAGATAAAAAAATCAGGTTCTACCCCTTAGAGATTTCTGTGATTTTTTCCCTCATAAAAATGCCCTGAGACAGATAAAATAACTGATAAAATCAGGTTCAAACCCTCAGAGAGAATTTTTTTCCCCCTCACAAAATCACCCTGCGAGAGAAAAATCAGGTTCTACCCCTCAGAGATGATTTTTACCCTGACAAAAATGTCTGTACCGTGAAACAGATAAAATAAGGGATGAAATCAGGCTCAAGGCCTCCATAGATGATTTGTGGCCTGATAAAAATATCTCTTCCCTGATAAAATCAGGCTCAACCCCTCAGAGGTGTTTTTTTTGCCCTGATAACAAGGCCCTGAGACAGACAAAATAACTGATAAAATCAAGCTAAACCCCTCAGATAGGATTTTTTTGCCCTAATAAAAATGCCCCAAGGCAGATAAGTGATAAAATCAGGTTGTACCCCTCAGAGATTATTTTTTCCCTCACAAAAACGTCTCTGCCATCAAACAGACAAGGGGTAAAATCAGGCTCAAAGCCTTCATAGATGATTTTAGCCCTGATAGAAATGGCATGAGACACAAAATAACTGATAAAATCAGGTTAAAGCCTGTCAGAGATGATTTTTGCCCTGATAAAAACATCTCTGCAATGAAACAGATAAAATAAGGGATAAAATCAGGCTCAAGGCCTCCACAGTTGATTTTCAACCTGCTAAAAATGCCTCTTCCCTGAGACAGATAAAATAAGGGATAAAATCAGGTTAAATCCCTCAGAGATTATTTTTGCCCTCACAAAAAATGCCCTGAGGCAGATAAAATAAATTATAAAATCAGGCTTGACCCCCCAGAGGCAATTTTTGCCCCGACAAAAACATCTCTTCCCCGAGAGACAAAATAACTGATACAGTGAGATTTAACCCTTCAGAGATGACTTTTACCCTGATAAAGTCACCCTGAGACAGATAAAATAACTGATAAAATCAGGCTAAAGCCCCTCAGGGAGAAAAATCAGGTTAAACCCCTCGGAGAGGATTTTTGCCCCGTGATCTGTCGCTCGTTTCTATTCCCAGCTCAGTTTTTTCCCCTCCTTAGCCCCCCAAATCTGGTGTTCTCCCATTAAAAACCTTTCCCAAATATTTTCATGCTTCTTATTGTCTTGGCTGTAGCGAGCTGGAGTAATTCCAGCCCTGATTCATCCCTTGGGAGAAGGGCAGCAGCAGCGCTCGACCTGTGACCTTCTAGTGAGGCAAAGCAAGGGGGGGAAGAAGGGGAAACAGGGGACAGGCTCCGGGGGGGTTTGCGCTCGTCCCCCCAGGATCTCCCGAGGCCGGGGAAAGGCTGTTCGTACCTCATGTGGGTTTTTAGTGCCGAGGGCTGGGAAAACTTAGCCTCACACTCCGGGCACCCATAAGGCTTGTGGCCCGTGTGCGTCCTCTCATGGAGCCTCAGGGCGGTTCTGGAGCTCAACCCCTTTCCGCACTGCTGGCACTGATGGCGCTCCCCACCACCCTCATGAACCTGGAGAATGTGCCTCTTGACGTCCTTCTTCCTCTTGAACTTCTTACCGCAGAGCTCACAGGGGAAGCGGCGCTCGCTGCTGTGGACGTGCCGCTGGTGGCTCCGCAGGTTGCAGCGGTTGGCAAAGGTCTGCCCGCACGTCTCGCACCGGAACACCAGCTCGGCCGCGATGCCGTGGCTGTGCTGGATGTGCTTCAGGAAGCTCTTCTCGTACAGGAACTCCTTCTCGCACGTGCCGCACTTGAAGTTGCTGCCCCGCCTCTTCCTGTCCTCGCCGGCCTTGGGGCGGCTCTCCCCGGAGCCGCCGTCGCGCCCCGCGCCCTCCGGCTTGACGGCATCCTCCTCCTGCTCCTCCTCTCCCTCTGGCTCGCACAGCTCCTCGTCTTCGGGGTATTTGTCGTCTCCGGCGGCCGCCTCCGCGTTCTTCTGCTGCTCCCTCAGCCTCCTGGTGTACTTCTTCTTGGGGATTTCCACGAACACCTTCCTCCCGGCCAGCCGCCCGCTCGCCCTCCGGATCTTGGCGTAAGGGGCCTTCAGCACTTCCTTCTTTTTGTCCTTCGGTTTGGCAGCCGGCGCCTCCGGGGACGCTCCGTGGCCGGGCCTGGCCGCGGGGGAACCCGGAGTTTCCCGCTCGGCTTCAGCCGCGGCTTTGGACTCGGGCGGGACGTCCGGGTTGGGGGCGGCGGCGCCGCCGCCTTCCTCCTCGGAGTTCTGCGACTCCGAGAAGTTCTGCAGCTCCAGCAGCACCGACTCCAGCATCTGCTTCTTCAGCTGGAAGCAGGTCTCCGAGAGGTCCAGGCACTTGAGCTTCTCGGCGATCTCCAGCATGCGCTGCACCCTGTCCTCCTCCACCTCCACCCTGGCCGTGTAGACGAACTCCAGGAAGGAGGCGAAGTCCGCCACCTGCACCTCGTTGAGGAAGACGTTGCTCCGGGGCCCGTCCACGGCCTTCTCGTTGAGGAAGACCTCCTTGAAGAACTTGCTGGTGGCCGCCAGCACGGCCTTGTGGGCCACGAACTCGGCGCGGACGCCCTGGTACTCCACGCTCACCGTCACGTCGCACAGGTGGCCCAGCAGGCGCAGCTGGTGCATCTCGTTCAGCAGGTTGATGGGAGAGGACTTGGATTCCAGCAGGACCGGAGCGCTTTCCATCTTTTCTTCCCCCTGCAAGAAGCTGTTGGTGACATCCCGCGTTAGCCAAGGGAACTCCAGAGGGTTTCCAGCGGCCGAAAGCCGCCCTCCGGGGTTTTGGGTGTTCCAGAGCTCCGGGATTGAGTCCAAACTTGGACTGATCTCCACCAGACCACTGAATAAATTTTAGCTTAAATCCCACCTGTAATTTTACCTGAGACCCTCTGGGCTAATAGAACCTGGGACAGGAACGGAGCGACAGAGGTGGATCAAGGGAATGTTCTGGTTAAGGCACGTGGAATTAAGGAAGGGTTCCTCTCCTCAGCAGGCAATGAAAGAAAGGTAAAATGAAGCAAAGTTAAGCAAAATCAACTGCGGTCCTAAAAAACCACTGCCTTAACAGCATTCCCAGGTAAAATTCCAAGATAAATAACAGCATTCCCAGATAAAATTCCAAGATAAGTAACAGCATTCCCAGATAAAATTCCAACAACCTGTTGAGTTTAACCCTTTAGTTCCTGCTGGAACCTGAGGAATTTCTTTCCCCTTCCCAGGAATTTAAGGACAACCCACCAAATGCCTAAACACTACCAGCACCAAAATGTCACTTTTTTACCCGAATAAAATGAGTTTTAACTACTCATCGTGTGTTTCACAACTGTGCCCCTGATTCCCATTTGAGCACTGTCTATTTGTGGGAATATGTCCCCTTTCCAGAGGCAAAACCAGCTGGAAAGAGACAAAAAGCTCCGGCCAGCAGCCCCTGAAGGGGAATGGGGAGAGGATTCCCAGGGAGCTGCCCCAGCCTGAGACAGGTGATGGAGTTGTGGAGCTGCTCCTCAGGGAGATCCCCCTCAGCTCCTGCTTCCAATCCCTTTTGGAAAGGATCCTGGATCACAGGGGAACCTGGGAGCACATCCCAGAGGAGGCGGGGGAAGAAGGGGAGGAAATGAGGGAGGGGAAGAGGAAGAGGGCTGGGAGGAAGCATGGGGGGACTTAGGAGGGGTTGGAGAGGAAATGGGGAGGAACAGGGGAGGGAAGGGGGAGAATAGGGGAAAATGGGGGGAGCGTGGAGGGGAATGGGGGGAATGGGGGAAGGTGGAGAAAGGGGAGAGGGCAAGAAGTCGGGCGGGGCCATCCCCGCATGGCTCCCGCCGTGCCAGCCCCGCACTCACCGTTCCCGGCGTGTTCCCGGTGCGTTCCCGGCCGCTGCTCCCGCTCGGCCCCGGGCGCGGCCGGAAGCGCTGACGCGCCACGGCCCCGCCCGCCCTGAGCGCGACCGCGGCGCGCGGGAAGTGACGTCACGGGGGCGCCGCCCCCGTCGCTAGGCAACGAGCGGCCGCTCTTCCCCGGGGCCTTGTTGTTCCCAAATTCGGGCGTTTCGCCCGCGCGAAATAAAACGAGTTAGGCGGCTTGGCGGCACTGACGGCTTTATTAAAAGAGAAACTGGTGATTTACCGCGCTGCGCCTGTATAAACACGCACACACACTCTCCCCACCCCACCCCGTTCCCAATGGGATGCTCTGAGGTGCATCCACGGGTTTGGAAAATAAAACTTGGGACAGATCTAAACGTTTCACTGGAATAAATACCCTCAGCAGGGATTACACCCCCTTCTCCACCTGGACTCCAGCTGCAGCACTGGGGATAACTCCCCCAGTTCTGAGGGATAATTTTCCCCATTCCGCACATTTTTGGGGCCAAAACTGACCTTACAAGTACAAGAGAGAGCGGTCGGTGTCCCTGGTGTCCCCAGCACCAGGTGCCACCTGTGCTGCTGTTTTGGCACCTTCTGGTTTATAAAGTTTCCCTTGGTCCATTGACCAAATCTCTGGGGCGGAGCCTCCTCCTGCCTGGGCTTCCCCAAATGTCTCTATTTTGGACCAGTTATGGTCCTTTTTGGTGGTGAGATCGATTAGGAAACTTCTCCAGTGAGCATTCCGGTCGTGAATCTGGGGGGGAAAAAAAAAAAATCAAAAAGGAAGAGGACAGGAGAACAATTATACCTGATTTTTAACTAAAACAATTTCAAATATGTAAAACCATATTCCTGGGGTTGAATAAACCATCATGTTACGAGGATTAAAGGTGAGGATTAAAGGACTGAGGACTCTGTAATTAAATCCATAACAAGCACCTAAAATCCCGAGTCCTGCCTCAAATGTTTTAGGCTGGAAAGGACCTCTGAGATCACCGAGTCCAACCTTTGACCGACGACCAAATGCCACGTCCGGTCATTCCCTGAACACCTCCAGGGATTGGTGCCTCTTTTCCTAAGGCTGGGAGACGCCTGGATTGTGCAGCCAGCAGTGGGAGCTGCTGTGCCGCCATCGGAGGAAAATTCCGGATGGTGAAACTCAGAACCCTCCCGGAGTTTATATCCCCCCTGAGGTGACCCCGAGGGCCGGGAAGATCCCGAGGGATTGCCGTACCGCCACGTGTCTGCGCAGCGTGGACATGTCGGTGAAGGTCCTCTCGCAGGCCCGGCACTTGTAGGGCTTCTCCCCGGTGTGGATGCGCTGGTGCCGCCGCAGGGCTCCCTGCTGGGTGAAGGTCTTCCCGCACTGCTCGCAGAAATAGGGGCGGGTCTCTGGGAACAAACAATCCCGGGAGACACGGCAGTTAGGAGAGGGGGGTTCTTTGGCCCCCATCACACAAAAAAAAAAAAAAGGATGAAGGATTTTAAAGTATCAATAAAGGAGGTGTGGCTGCCCCATCCCTGAAAGTGCTCCAGGCCAGGCTGGACCGAGCTCGGAGCAACCTGGGATATGGAAGGTGTCCCCATCTTTAAGGTCCCTTGCAGCCCAACCCAGTCTGGGATTTTATGCTTCCATGATAAATATTTCTCCACTGCCAAGAAGCCCTAAAATCAGCTCTCTGATCCTGCAAGGAGAACTACAGGCGTTCTCTACTCCTGGCACAAGCCAGGCCTCAGTTTCCTGGGAAAGCACCACTGATATGACCCAAGATTTTCCTGTGCTCTGTTTAACGAGCCAGGATCAGGATGAGCCCTGCTTCCAGCACCACGGAGTCCCCATCCCTGAGTGCCGGGACGTGGCACTCAGTGCTCTGCTCTAGTGACAAGGTGGTGATCACCCACAGGTTTGACTCCATGATCCTGGAGGTCTTTTCCAACCTCTGTGATCACCTAATTCAGGGAGCTGTGGAATGAAACGCCCCCATCCAAAAAAACCGGGAAGCACCCCGGGAGCCACGGTTTTGTTTTCCCGGTGCCAAGAGGTGGTTCCATTACCTGCGTGGACGTTGCTGTGCTGGGCCAGGGAGGCCCTGAGGCCGAAGGTTTTCCCACACACCTCACACTTGTAGGGCTTGGCGCCCATGTGGCAGCGCTTGTGGCACTTCAGGTACTCCTTGGTGGCAAAGTGCTTCCCACACACGTCGCACTTGAACAGGCGCTCTCCTGAGGGAAGAGAGACGGGACACGCGGGAATCTCACACAGGAATTTTGCACTCTGAAGTTGGTCTTCAAGGAAAAGCCCTCCAGGATCATTGAGTCCACCCACCCTGTGCCCCATCCCCACCTCGTCACCCAGCCCAGAGGATGGAGTGCCACGTCCAATGGCTCCTTGGGCATCTCCAGGGATGGGGACTCCATCCTGTTCCAATTGCTGATGACCCCTTCCATGAAGAAATTCCCTCTGTTGTCCAACCTGGCACAGCTTGAGGCCATTTCCTCTCCTCCTGCCCCTTGTTTCCTGGGAGCAGAGCCTGTTCCCCCCGGCTCCTCCCTCCTGCCAGGGAGTTGTGGAGAGCGAGCGGGTCCCCCCCGAGCCTCCTTTTCTCCAGGCTAAAAGAGCTTCTCTCCCTACTGATTCTTGGTACTTGGAATCTCTTCTGTGGTACAAGAAAAAAAGGGCATTTTCTTCATGTCCCAACCAGCAATTCCAAGCAGTGAAAAGGGAAAACCACGGGAGAAACCACATGGAGTATTTAATGCCCACCTGTGTGTGTCCTTTTGTGGCCCGTGAGTTTTCCTTTGTCGGCAAAGGAAGCCCCGCAGTCCTCACAAATATACGGCTTCTCACCCGTGTGGGACCTGAAGGAGGCAGAACACAAAGGATTATTAATAAATCAGGTCCTGATCCTGTGGGCCTTCCCAGTCCCTTGTGTCCTGCAGACCTTACCCGGCATGATATCCCCATTTTTAGGACATAAGATTTGGTCTTTACACTGCGCTGACTTCCCTTATTCCAACCCAAACAGGAATTCCAAGCAAAACCATTCCCAATTTCAAGTTGTCAAGCAGGAGGCTTATAACTTATCTGCTATGCTCTCTTTTCAAAGATGGGAAATTTTCCATGGGGTGATTCACCCTCTCCTGGGAGAGGACACATCTGACACAGACACCACCAGAGGGCAACTCATCCCATCAAACTCAGTGAGTGCAGCAGGAGCCCTCAGGAGCAGCACGGATTCTGTGCTGCATAAAGAAATCCCACACTAATTCCTTGCTGCAAGATTGTCTCTGAGGTCCCTGACTCACTCTTCAGCCTACGCTGCTCGTCATCAATGAATCCCATCGGATTTCAGAGCCTGTCCCAAATGACTGGGAGTTTGGATGGGGCATCCATGTTGAAATCCCGACCACGGGCAACGCAACGACCACCCGGGGCCAAAGCCTTTGCGTAAAAGGATTAATCACAGAGCCTAAAATCCAAATGACATCCTGGCGTTCCCACTCTGAGGAGAACGACTCACAGCCGGGAAAAAGGTGCAGGGAGGGGGGAACGGGAGGCCGGCGGCTGACCTGGTGTGGATCTTCAGCTGGGACGGCTGCGCGAACCTGGAGTGACAGATGCCGCACTCGTAGGGCTTCTCCCCGGTGTGCGTGCGCATGTGGAACACCAGCGCCGTGCGGGAGCTGAGGATCTTCCCGCACACGGAGCAGAGCGGCCGCTTGGCGCGGCCCTCGTGCTTCCGCACGGAGTGGGTGCGCACGTCCCGCTGCCGCTTGAAGGTGGCGTGGCAGAGGGGGCAGGAGAAGCGCCTCTCCTCCGTGTGGACGCAGGCCCGGTGCTCCTTCCAGCTGGTGTAGCTGGCGAAGGCCTTGCCGCACACGTCGCACCGGTACGCCTTGCCGGGCAGGCACTGGTGCGCGTCCCGGCAGTGGTCCACGTATCTCTTCCGGGAAATGAACTGCTCGTGGCACTTGTCGCACCGGATCACGTACGGGGGGTTCTTGTTGGCCCCGCTTTTGTTGACCTTCTGTAGTTTAGACCCTTCGTCTGATTCGTGTTCTTCGCCGTCCTTCTCGTTCGAGTCTCCCCCGTCCTCCTCGGGACACACCTCTTTGGCTGTGCCTCCTTCAACTTCCGAGCACCCCGCCTGGAAATCTCCCTCCTCCTCGCCCTTCACGCTCATCTCACCTTCATCTTCATTCCCTTCTTCACTCCTTGCTTCAGCTTCCTTGTGTTTCCCATTCTGTTCCTCTTGCTCCTCGCTCCGGTCTGCTTCAGCAGTGGATGAACCCCCGGGTTCTTCCTCTGATGTCACATCCCAAGGCTCTCTGCCGGGATCGTCTGGTCCAGGTGCAGGTGGAACCACCATCCAGTAGACGGGCAGGAGCTTCCTCTCTTGCCCAGACTCGTGGATTTTCCTGTTAAAATAAACAAACAACAGGGCACAACTTCAATGTGCTTAAATGAAACTCAATTAAAATTAATTGTTTAATTGCTTCACTTCAGACATGTTGGCCTCGGGGGAAGAGTCGCTTCCTTCGAGTTGCTCTTTGCACCATTTAAGAAGTTCACAGTGTATTTGGAAAGCCCAAAAATAGGGAAATTTTGGGTACAGTTGGACCAGGTAATTAAAGGCAATTAAAATGTCTCAGTTCATCAAGGATCTATATTTGTCACCTGACTGGGAACGTAGGATGGACTGTAAGTTTTCCTCCAAGGCCGTGGTGGATGGGATAAGAAATTATGGACTTAAACCAAGGGAAAAAAAGGTCAAATGCCAATATGGAGACAAAAAATTCTTACTAAAAACCCAGATCTGAGGCTTCCTGGATCTGGTTGCACTAATCCCCTTTAATTCAACGGGAAATTCCCTGAATTCCCCATCCAGGAGACCTCAACTCAGTCATCTGCACCGCAAGCTCAGTGAAGCCAAAAATCCGTCCCAATTTCAACACACTCCGCATCAGATCCAAGGAATTCTGGACCTAGAGCAGAGAGGACTTTCAGGAATGCCTTTATCCCCGCAGCTGGAGGGGAAGCACATTCCCGAGGGTGCCGTACCTGAGGTGGGCGGTGTAGGCGGACCTGTGGGCGAAGCTGGCGGGGCAGCGCTCGCACTTGTAGGGCCTCTCCCCGGTGTGCGTCCGGATGTGGACGGACAGGCCGCACTTGGAGCCGACCACCTTGTCGCAGTAGGGGCAGGCCCGGCGTTCCCGCTTCCCCTGGGGCGCCCCGCGGATCCGCTCGGCCGCGTCCCTGCGGCGCGCGGCCCTGGTGTGGCGGGAGGAGCCGCGCTCGTGGCGGTGCTGCCGGAGGTTCCGCGGAGCCGGGAATCGCTGCCCGCACCTCTCGCAGCGGGACCCGAGGGCCAGGCCGGCGCCGTGCCGGAGCTCCGCGTGCTCCCGGTACTGCTCCAGCGCGCGGAAGGATTCGCCGCGCTTCCCGCGCGCCGCCGGCGCTGGGATTCTTGCCGCGTGCCGCGGCAGCTTCCTGCGTTCGGTTTTAGGGGAAAACTGGGAAATCAAACTCTTCCCGTCTTCCCACTGCTCGGGCAGAGTGTTCCTAATCACAACGCAGGCTCCCTGTGCCTCAGCCTGACTTAGGAGGGAGCGACTATCCTCGTTTTCCAGGCTAACAATGTCCACACCGAGTGCGTTTGTGGAATCCGGATTGCTACATTTTGGCAGCTTTGCTGTCCTGGGTTTTGGGTCTGGAAAACCAGCGTCCTCTTGCTCCAGACCCGCTGCTTGGCCTCCAATGAGCTCAAGGCCCGCCAGCAACTTCTTATGTTTTTGCCTGTCCCAAAGTTTCCTCTGCACGGGAATTGCCACAACCTGGGAAGAGCTCCTCAGGCCGGGGCTCTCCTCGTGCTGGATGTGAGGCCACTGGGATCCACCATTCTCACCCCTCTGTCCTTTCAGGTGGAGGCTCAGATCCAAGCCCTTCCTGCCCTCTGCTTTCACTTCTTCACAGATGTCAAGCAGATCCTTGCATTCCAGCCTCTCGGCTATTTCCTTCATCCGCTGGAGCTTTTCCGCTTCGATCTCCACTTCTGCGGTGTACACGAACTCCAGGAAGGAGGTGAACTCCTCCGTGTAGATGTCCTGCAGGGTCACCGTGCAAGTCTTGGTGTCCAGCATCTCCTCGTGCAGGAAAAGCCCCTTGAAGTAGTTGCTGGAAGCTGCCAGGACGGCTTTGTGCGCCAGGAACTCCTCCTGGATTCCCAGGTGCTGGGTGTGAACCGTCACGTCACAGAGGTGCCCGAACTGGTACAGGGAATGCAGTGCCCTCAGGAGGTTGGGAGCAGCGACCTTGGACTTCATCAGGATTTTCTTCTTCTCCATCCTGCCGGAAGAAACGCACAAGTGTTTGAATGGGCTCCCTCTTTCCCATTTTTCCATTCAAGTATGACATCAGAAAGCCCAGTGGAATTCCACATCCTAATTCCTCCCTGCGAGACGCGGTGAAAACCTCAAGGTTATCCCTGTCAGCACGACCACCATCAGCAAACACATGGCTTATTTCAGCCTCAGACTTGGATTTATCCCCAAGGAAAAACCCTTTGGAATGAATATTCCGCAGCACGAAAACGTGAGCAACGTGACTGGCCGGGATTAAGGATCAATCATTCCTCACACAAGCACTTTCCAGCAGCAGAGGTGACAAGGATTTACAGCAGAAACCAGGCCCCTTCAGACCCTGGAAGGCTGAAGACCCATGGAATCTTCAAGACTCCTTACCTGGCTGATCCACAACCTCCTCACTCTCCCACTGCCAGCAAGTTCCCAGATGTCTCCTCAGAGAAAACAACAACATTCCTATAGGGAAACTGGTTAGGAAAAGGAACTGGAGGAAAAGGCCAAACCAAGCATGGGATGAAACATGGATTCATAGAACCACTGAGGTTGGAAAAGACCTTCAGGATCACTGAGTCCAACCTTTGACAGATCACCACTGCGGCAACTAAACCATCTCCCAGAAGCTGGAAAATGAGGGGAAAGGGGCAAAACAGAGTTGTCTAAATCCTATTGGGAAAGGACTCCTCATATTCAGGCTCCTACTGTGTCATTCCCACAGCCAGCAGGGATCTCTTTGCAACGCTCCCAACTCAACACCTTCCAACTATTCCCCACGTGGAGACACGACCCCCCCCGGCTCCTCCGGCACACTTGGAAGCCGCACAGAGGAGTGAAGATCCGGAGGTTCGGCCCACAAATCCACAAAAGCTTCCACTTAAATCTGCTCCCTTAATGTTTTCCAGCAGGATATCCTTGGTTTCTGTGCTGACCCCGGGGCTGTGGAGCTTAAAGAAATCAATGAGCACGGCACGTGCTAATTTCCTCCTGCTCCTCTGCAAGATTCCCATCTGCGATAAGATCCCGATCCGCGCTCCCGCGGGAGCTCTGCTAACGCCAGGATCTGATACAAAGCCAGATGGGAGAGATACATTCCAAGATCATCTCTCGGTTCATCTGGTTCTGGATTAAACCACCCTGGAAACTGCTGGCTGAAGTGTCTTTCCAATGAAAAAACGCCACAAATTAATCAATTCCCACCATTTTTTCCCTTCGGGAAAAGAAAAAATTGAGACTTGGGGGTTTAGTTCCCATTTGGAAACTTTAGTTTTCCAAAGTGCTGCTGAATCTCTGTGTCTCCAAAACACTCACTTCAAGAATTTAAATGACAACAACATTTTTCCCCATATTTTATGGATTTGTTTGTAGCTTCTTTCCAGCTTTTTTCTGCCTGGCAATAAGCAAATAAATACTTTAAAAAAATGTGCATGCGTGCAAGATTTGCAGAAAACATAATTCATCCAACAGACTAATTGCAAAAGCACTTTAATTTTGCCAGAACTGACGCAAAACTCAAACCATATTTCAATTCAATTACAGCTCCTGATAAGGAACTGGAATGAGTGCAGCTGGAATTAGTGCAAGTGGAATTGGTGCACGTGGAATTAGTGCAGCTGTTTTAAAAAATAAAGCCCAACAGTGGCTCCCAAAGTCCAAGAAGAGATTTATATTTGTATATATTTTTTATAATTTTTTCCACGAGGTAATTATCACAGTAAAGGAAGAGTTTTTTATAGGAAAGACACTAAATATTCCCAAAATAAAATCCTGTTATCCACATAAATCCACCCTGCTTTTCCCTCAAGTCTTTCCAATGACATCTTAATTTTCTCTTTAGAGAGGGGAAGAGGAAGTTTTTTCTTAATTTATTATCTTCCCAGGAAGGATTCCTTTAAACTCTCGGTAGCTGCATGTGCACAAACAACAAAGGGCTCCAACAGGGATCAAAATGAGAATCCCTGGAATTCTGGTGAACAACCAGAAGAGCCTTAAAAATGGACTGTGATAATAAAAATATATTTATAGCGGTGAGGCAACAAGGTAACAGGTAAGAAACAGTATCACTAGGAGATAAATAAAAGCTGGAGTTGCTCCACTGTGTTAATCCCCTGGAAAATTCCTCCCAGGAATTCCCACAGGATGCAGATACATAAAGTTAGGTAGGTCAGGACACTGAGCAAACAGTAACAGGTTTCCAGCCTGTCTGGGGACTTCTGGATAAGCTGAGGAACATCCAGAGCAGCTCCACTTGTGTTCCAGAGAATTTCCATTTGTGCACCAGAAAAATCTCCATTTATCTTATGGAGAATTTCTATTTACCCTCCAAAGCATTCCCATTCATTCTCCAGAAAAATCTCCAGTTGCCCCCCAGAAAAATTTCCATTTCTCCTCTAAAGTATCTCCATTTCTCCTCTAAAGTGTCTCCATTTCTCCTCTAAAGTATATCTCCATTTCTCCTCTAAAGTATATCTCCATTTCTCCTCTAAAGTGTCTCCATTTCTCCTCTAAAGTGTCTCCATTTCTCCTCTAAAGTATCTCCATTTCTCCTCTAGGAAAATCTCCATTTATGCTCCAGAGAGCCTCCATTTATTCTCCAGACAAAATTCCACTTCTGTTCCAGAGCATCTCAATTTATCCTCCTGGGCATCCCCATTAACGCTCCAGAAAAAAATTTCAATTTATCCTTTAGAGTATCTCCATCTGCCCACCAGAAAAACCTCAATTTATGCTCCAGAACAACCTCCATCCATCCTCCAGCACGCTGCCGGCCAAATTCCTCCAAAAGTCTTAAACTTTGGTATTTTTTTTTACAACACACAGCCCTTCGATTTTCCTCCTGGCTAAGTTTACCTTCGAGACAGCCCTGGAAAGGCTCCTCCCACGAGGAAATCCAGGCCGCGCCCGCTTCCCGGCTGGAACGGGACCAAGGCTCACCCTCCTCCGGGAATGATCCCGCGCTGTGTTCCTCCTTGTACCGCCGACACAGCCGCGCTCATCTTCCGCGTTTTCATTTATTAAGTGCGGCCAGCAGATTTCTGCAAGGAAATCAGAGAGCGGGAATTGTTTTATCCCAGCGGGAGCCGCCTCAGGGCACGGGGACGTGAGGGGACATGGCGGTGGGGGGGCACCTGCCGCCTGCACGGGGGGGGGCAGCTCCCCGCCCGGTCCCTGAGGCGGCGAGGTTCGGGAGGTCGCCCTCCCTCCCGGGGATGGCTCCCGGAGGAGTTTCCCGACGCTCCCGGGCTCCATCCCGGGGGTCCCTCCCGGCCCGTGGCCGCCCTTACCCTCCGCCACCTCCGCCGCCCGAAACCAAGATGGCCGCCGCCGCCGCCTCCATCGCCTCGGCCCCGCCGCCATCTTGGGTGAGGGCAGGGCGGTTCCAACAAAGCTGGGAGGAATTAAAAAAAAACCACCCTAAACCCGCAAAAAAACCCACCCCGAAACGACGCATAACCCGCAAAAACCCACACCCCGAATCAACGCAAAATTTAAAAAAAAAAAAAAATTTGTTCTCGCGCTTTCCAAGCGCCCGGTCTCGGTGTTTAATCAATTTCAATTGGCCTCGGTGGGTTTGTTTCCTCAGGTGAGTTAAATAGAGTTATAATGGAGCCCGGTTTGCTGTGCCAGCTACATCCAGCTCTTCGCCTTCTCCCGCTGTGGATACTGGGAGATAACACTGCCAGTGTTAAGAGAGATGTTTGTAGAAACCAGCTCTGAACTCTGACGGGGTAAACCTGGGCTTAGGAGAAGCACAAGCTGCTATTTCCCGCTGGTGATCCCATATTCCTGTTATTTATCACGTAAAATCATTTTAAACAGCCAACGTATGGGACAAATCTGTGGGCTGCCAAGTACTTCAACACACCAGTCTTGTTTCCAAGATAAATTCCTCCTTGGGTGCATTTTTTTTTTTTTTACCTAAGCGCAGATTTAATCTTGAAATTGTAATGGCTTGTAAAAAAAATGTTGAATGATTTTAATTCCTTGAGGAAATGTGAAAGAAATTCCTTAATAAAAATAAATCAGGAAGAGGCTGACATCTGTGCTGTTTACCTTTCTTTTTTGCACTCCTATCACGCAAATTTGAGCCTTGACCCTGTAATTATCAGGCTTTTGGCCTGATATTAGAAAATGTTTGTGCATTTCTCTGAAAACAAGACCACCATAGGAAAGACAGAATAAAAATATTGTAAATCAAAATATTTTAAATAAAAATAACTTGTGCGAACTCAATTTGCTTAGGCTGGGAGAGTCTGAGAGGTAAATCCAGCCTGATGGATCACTCCCACGGAGGAGGGAATGTTTCCACCCTGAATTTGGTTTTCAACCCTGATTATTTTGTTTGTAGTCGGGGAATGTTTCTATTGTCAAGACACAGCTCTCGGAGCGGAGAGAACGAGCGGCAATATGAGTGATCCATGCTAAAATGTCAGGATAATATTCCCGTATCTCGGCACGAGGGAATGGTGTTTGCTTTTACTTTATCAGAAACCTGGTCTGCTCAACAGTTCTCACCCAGAGGAGTTGGGAGGGAAGATGAAGTGAAGGCTCCCGGCCAATTTAGCCTTGCTTTCACAGGGATTGAGTGAATTGCTGGGGAAGTTGGCAGCGCCGGAGTTGTATCCGCGTGTCAATCTTTGCCCGAGCGGCCCAGAAGGGATTCTGGAATTGCACCTCCGGCACGCCGGTGGCTGAGTGACTCCAGGCTGGATTTCACGCCGCCCTCCATCCACCAGTTCTTGTTTCTCAGGAGATTCGCTCGATTCTCTGAATGTTCTGGCTGCTCTCGGGCACTTCGGGAGCTTCCTAGAACAGAAGGAAGTCTCCACACTCCCCACAGCTCCCTTGAGCATCCTGGTTGCTGTGTGGGAAGAGGGAGAAAGGGTGTCGTAGTTGCTCTCTCCAGATCACTTAATTTTTCTTTGGAGTTACAAGAGGAGGGATGAAAATGGGTGGGAGGCAGCCCAGAGGTGTCCGAACCCTCTCAGTCTGAGGAAGACACTGAACCTGAGTGCCCTGTGGTGAGTCAAACATTCCAGGCCCCGGAATGTCATAATAAAGCAGCTTGTTTTGCCCCTTAAGCCAAAACACAACAAAATCCAGGAAAGAATCGCAGCCTGAGAACTCAGATTTTTATCTGAGTGTTTCCTTTTGGTTGGGAGTGAAGAAATACCTCGGGCTCTGATCCTGGTGACTAAGAGCAGGAAAAGGGGAGAAGCTGGGAGGCAGCTCTGCCAGTCAGGTTACAGGTTCTGCTCCTGACCCATCGGACACTCACCCAGGGCCAGCCAGGACAGCTCCAGCAGAACAGGGAATGGGAATGTCCCCAAATCCCAGGCTGGCTGCTGGGTGGCCGGAAGGTTTCCGTACACAGCATCACCTGCTTGGCATGGGGGCACTGGTGAATTTGAGCAAAACTGGGGTGCGTTTTTGGAGACCCCCAAATGAAACCTCGCTGTGCCTCTTCCCTGGATGGCTCTCCCTTCCTTACGGCTCCACCAGAGGATGCTGCAGACTTTGGAAAGAGCAGCCTGGACTGCAGCCCTGCTCATCCCTTCCAGGATCCAGAGATCCTTGTCCAGTGGCTCGCTGACATAACCTGGACCTCTTTACATGCATGGAAGCACATGAGTTAAATAGTTAAGGATCCTGGAGTGAGAATATTCTGGGGAGGATAGAAAGAGGCTGGTACAAGTAGCTTCCCTTGGTGGACAATTCCTACCTCTTGCTGTTCAACTGAGCTTTGCATCGGGAAGAATCCGACCATGGAAGTGCAGGGAGGGCCTCAAAAAGCCTTTTCCCGAAGCTCTCCTGGGTGGGAGCCAAGCCACCACTCAGCAAACCTCCGAGTTGTCCCCCAAACAGAGACAGAGCTTTCAGCATAGTCTAAAAATGCAAATTCCAGACAAACTCCTGATGGAAAGCAAACAGCAGGCCCTTGCTGCGTGTGTCAGCTCTGCTTAGGCTCTCCTGCTATTCTCCATAATAAATTTTGGCGTGTGATTGTGCTACAAATCAAACATCCCACAGATACTCCCCCTCATGCTGTTCTACGGTCAGTCTCAAAAACCAGGAGTTATGTGTGTTCCGACAAAAAAAATTCCAAAATCCTTGTGTCACTTGAAAAGCACGGGAATTGATAAAAATCCTTATGTGTTTTGTCTTAAAAGGAGATATTAAAACACTTAAAAGAAGCAAAATTTACTTCACAGCAAAGTACAGTCTGTTTTGGTGGAGAATCATCAAGTCCCACCATCAAAGTCCAAGATCATCAAATTGTGGAATGGTTTGGGTTGGGAGGGACCTTAAAGATCATCTCATTCCACCCCCTGCCACGGGCAGGGACGCCTTCCACTATCCCAGGTTGTTCCAAGCCCCCTCCAACCTGGCCTCGGACCCTGGAGCTGGAGGAAGGGCTCCAGGTGGGGTCTTGGTTCAGCCAGGTGGTTGAAATCATGATCCCTTTCTTCCTGAGAACTCGGGCCTTTACAGCACCAATGACTTTAATACATCAAGGTGATTAATAATTATTTATCAAATCACCACTTGGAAAATATGCATGTTTGTCACCTTCCTGATGTGGACTGTTCAGTGTCCACTCCCTACCATGATTTTCTTTAACCAATGCGGTTCAAAATTAAATTAAAAGCTCTTTTCACCCCTTCAGGTTCCCCTGTGCTATCGAGTCAGCAGTTTTGATACCGACTCCGTGTTACTGATAACAGGGACACATCCAAAAGTCACTGGAAGGGCTCCCACCAAGGTCAAGACCCTCATTTGAGAAGGTCTCCCAGGAGTGAGCTCAGAGCCAGGTCAGCAGCACCCTGGGCACTCAGGCGCCCGTGATTTTGGCTCTGGCCCACGAGTTGCTGCTTTTCCCATCTCATTTTTCTTGGTAGCTCATTCCTGCGTGGCGGCATCTGCGATAGGATGTGTTCCCAGAGCTCCAGGGGAGGGGGGCAGGCCCGCTTTTGGGTTGGTTCGCTCCGATCCTGACCCCACACTCGTGACAAGTGGCGTGTTAGGGCGATGGAAACCCGAATTTAGGGAGTGTATCAGTGATGGCTTCCTTTTGTTACCAAATAAATCCTCTGCACAGCTCATTTGCTGCGTGCCCTTGTTTATTACACATTTTTAAGCCGTTGGCACATTGTAAACTTCTTTTTCTTCTCCTTCTTCCAGGGAAACAAAGATGTTTTAACCCCTGCTGAACTTGAGGCATCGAAGCCAACAGTCACCTGTGGAAGTGCATGATTCTCTATCACATTCCAGGGAATATTGAAGGTCTGATGCAGCTCTCAGACAGCATTTCCCTCCCTTTTTTTAACTCCTGAACCCTTCCAGTCAAGCCTGTCTTTAAATAGCTTCAGTAGTTTTAAATAGTTAAGTTGAAGACAAGCCTATCTTTAAATAGTTTCAGTAGTTTTAAATAGTTAAGTTGAAACCAAGCCCATCTTTAAATAGTTGATTTTTAAATAGTTGAGTCTGGGGGTTCATAAATATCATGAAGATCCCGTTTCTCCATCAAGGATCTAAAAAGCAGGTGGATGATGTTTAGTCTCGGCCTAAGGGACAGGATGTTAATGCTTTCTCCTCTTGGAAACAACCTCCTCCTGTTTAGTTACAGGCACTTCAATATAAAACAAATATTCAATCAGCAAAAGGAGGAGGGGGGAAAAAAAACACCCTTTTTTTTTTTTCCTCCCCTCCACTGGGTCCCTTCCAAGCCAGACCCTTCTGTGCTAAGGCCCCTACGGATTGCAGGGGATCACAGGGAACACATGGATATTAGCACCTCGCTCCCGGCCAAAAGAAACAAAGCAAAACAAACCCCCCAAAGTTATTCTTCGTGGCAAGAAAAGAGCGATTCCTTGCCAGGTTTACAGTCCCAGCCTCGCTGATCTTATCGGCCGCTCCGGTTAAAATAGCTGCTGGTCTGATGAAGGTGATGCCAGACAAACTCCACCTGATCCCAGCTGTTAACCAGGCAGGGCTTTAAAGAAAATAAGTCCAAACGTGTTGGACTGAGGGATATTTTGGCAACGGCCTGCTGTGTTTTTCCCTTGTTCC